TCTACCTAGATTTCAGACATCTAGTTGCTGGGATGTGGGCCACTGATGACTTGCAAGAATGCAATTCAGGTAGCCTTTGACTTAAAACCATCCATTTTAGTGATCGCTTAAAGTTACAACGGCACTGAAAAAAGTGACTTATGACCATTTTTCACACGATTGTTGCAGCATCCCCAGGGTTACATGGTCAAAATTCACATGCTTGGTAACCCGTTCATATTTATGGCGGTTGTGTCCCAGGATCACAAGATCCCCCTTTGTGACCTACCGAGAAGCTAAGTTAATGGGGAGGTCGGATTCCTCTCACAACCTTGTTGACTGCAGTGATTCACTTTACAACTGTGGCAAGAAAGGTCGCCATATGGAGCAAAACTCACTTAACCGTCTCGCTTAGCAACAGAAATGTTGGGCTAAATTGTGATCCCCATTAAGTTGGAAGTTAAGTTGTAATTTTTTTTGGGAAGGGGGGGTGGTCTATTGTAACTTTGAACAATCACTAAGTGGCCAGTTGTAAGTTGAAGACTGCCTATATACTTTCATGCTGTTAATTACTTCCCAAAGCTTCCTACACAATGTAGCCTAGATCAGTGTTTTCCAAACTTGGCAATGAGGAACTTCCCACTTCCCAGCATGGTGCCTGAGGAATTCTGGGAGTTGAAGTCCATGTACCTTATTAAAGTTGCCAGGTTTGAAAAACACTGGCTTAAATAGTTGGGGCGAGAACCAGTTTAGTATAATAGTTAGAGACCAGATGAGAAAATGGCAGGCCTTAGGCACCAACTCAGTGGGGTGACTAACTAGTTTATCTTTCTCCACTCTAAAGAAGAAAAAGGCAATTTACTTTTCAAAAATCGGAAGCAAAATTGATACCAACTCAGGCCCATGAACAGAGAGATGGCTGATTTTATGAGTTTTGAGATGTTCAAAGTCATTAGGTCATCACAGCCAGCATATGAACCTTTGGAACTAGCTATCTAAACATGGAGGTAATACTGAGACTTTATTTGAAAGACTTTAAATTTAACAGCCGTACCAGGCTCGGCCCATCAATTCTCCCCATTGCCTTTTGAAGTCGGGGGAAAATTTTTTTTTGTTTGCACTTACATTTCCTTTTCCTTCCCCAAAGCACAGAACAGACTTCAGATCCCTTCACAAAATGACAGGTAACCTTCATCCCGCCTTCACAGAAATCTATAATTAACTAGAAGTCTCCTTTAATTAGCAAAATAGTTTTTTGGAGGATGGGCAGGGAGAAAGGGGGCCTAAACCAATGGACTTTTGTTCATCTGTTAATTTAAGTGGTTTTGTGTGCACTTGTTCAGACATAAAATTAAAAAAAAAACCTGCATATTTCTTCAACCTAAATCGTTCAGTTCTTCATCTGGGTTTTACAAACCTGTCAGTGCTCAGTGCTCTTTAAATAAAGGCGATCTCTGGTTAAACTTTACCACCTTTCTGGGAACCAAACTGTGCAGATAGTCCTTGACTTCGGAGTACTATTGAGTCATACATTTTCACTGTTGTTAAGTGAATCACTGCAATTAAGTGAAAGTGAATCTTCTTCCTCCCCCACGGACTTTGCTTGTCAGAAGCTGGCTGGGAAGGGGGAAAATGGTGATCTCATGACCCCAAAGACAGGGCAACTCATAAATACACGCCATTTATCAAGGATCCGAATTGTGGTTTGCTGGCAGCAGGTGCTGAGGACTCAGATGAGGGGCCTGCGTGCGACGCGGGGATGGGGCCAGGACTATCAGAGAGTGGGGAGGCTGCCTTTGGAGATTGTGGAGGCGGGCAACAGCGATGCAGAGGACCCCGAGGAGCCTGTGCCCAGTGCGCATGCACGCAGGGCTGCTCGAAGGAAAGAGGCAACTCGTGAGAAAGGCTGCAAGGTGATGGCTCCTCCCTTAAGGGATAAAAGCCAGCCTGAGAGACCGGGATTCTTTGCAGGAAGCAAAGAAGTCCTTGCACTTCAAGCCTTGTGGACGTTCGGACTATCCTGGTTTGTGTCTGGAGACTGTTTTGAATAGTTCTTGGCAACTTTATCTAGTGTTCTTGGCAGCCTTGCACAACTTTGGGCAAGGCTCGTTCTTATCAGAGGCAATTAGTTTTCATAGCCTTTTAACTGAATGGATGGAATTCACAGAGAAGCATTACAAGGTTTTGCTTTTCCCTCTGGTGTTTGTTTCCTTGGAACAAGGTTTGGGTCAGAACACGAAGGTTTATTCCGTGACCATGGGAACGCTGCAATGGTCATAAGTGGGGAAATTGGTCAAGGTACTTTTATCAGTGCTACTGTAATTTTGAGTAGTCGCTAAACAGGTGGTTTTAAGTGGAGGACTACCAGTAATGTTGTTCCTTGTACAGAACCATTCCACATCTTACTGGAGTACAAGCCAAAACAACTTCCTTCTGTCTGACTTTGAAAATTTTCCTACAAGAACCAGCCTGGAATATAAATTAATGGTGTTGGACCAAGAATGGGCAGGCTTGATATAGTAGTTTCGTTCCATTCATTCAATTTATTAATTAGAAATTAGAAATAATTCATTTTAACATATACATATACATTAATTAAATATAGACAAAAGTTGTTAATTATAATTACTGTGTGGTATGTGCATTTATATACTATAAAGAGCAGGGTAAAACTAAAGGGAAAATATAGATTTCTATATAAATATATAGAATTTATATGCATATCTATAGAGAAAATGTAGAATTCATACATAAAGAGAAGCAAGATATAAATATCTTATTCATTTAATGTAAAAATGTGATAAAAATGAGCATATGGCATCTAGAGAGATGATGCAGTCTCTAATATAAACATTTGAAGTGGCAGCAAATCTATATCTATCTACATCCATCCATCCATCTATATATAATCCATCATTTATCTATCTTGTCCATCATCTATTGATCATCTAGTTCAGAGGTCTCTAAACTTGAATTCTGGGAGTTGAAGTCCACAAGTCTTAAAGTTGCCAAGCTTGGGGATCCCTGATCTATCTATCTATCTATCTATCTATCTATCTATCTATCCATCCATCCATCCATCCATCCATCCATCCATCCATCCATCCAGTGGTGGCATTAAATTTTTTACTATCAGTTCTCTGGGTGTGGCTTGGTGGGCGTGCCTTGGTGGGCGTTGCAGGGAAGGATACTGTAAAATCTCCATTCCCTCCCTTCCCCACTAACCTGCTTTCCAGCTCCATTCTCCTGTGCAGGGAAACCAAAGAAGACCCAGCCCATCAGCTGGGACTCAATGGGAGGCGGAGAAGAGATGGGGGCGGGGCCAGTCAGAGGTGGGATTTGCTGGTTCTCCGAACTACTCAAAAGTTTCGCTACCGGTTCTCCAGAACTGGTCAGAACTGGCTGAATACCACCTCTATATCTATCTATCCGTATATCTATATCTATATCCATCATTTATATCTATCCATATATCTATATCTATCTATATCCATCTATTGATCATCTATCTATCTATCTATCTATCTATCTATCTATCT